GAGGGAGTTTTATATCCTCTTAACTCATTACCTGTACTCCATCTGACCTAGCAGCACTTGATGTTGAAAGTGAAGCACTTTCAGTTCCAGTGCAGTTGCCTCTCACAAAAGTCATTAAAAAAATTAGAGATTGAAAATCAAGTTAAGATGAAGGGTTGCTTGAACCTAATTAAGAAACAACATGAAAGGCAACAGTAGACAATATATATCGAAGGAGTAGGAGCAGGTAATTCTTGGTGAAGAGACACTTAATTTGTAATCCCTGGAAAACGTTATTTATATTATTTTTCAGACAAATTCTCAGAATATTGGGAATTACTTGAAATATGCTTTTAATTAACGAATAATATCTAAAAGATTTTGCAGCTTTTTCTTCTTAATTATTTTAATAACCATAAATGTATTATTTGGATATAATATATAAAGCACAAAACAAAGAGAGAACTTTACTTTTATTGTAATGCAGCAGGTTTAGCGAAAACAATTTTATTCAATAGCCCTGACGAAGCTTCATATGGTGGTGTTCATCTGCCGTGGCAACTTAACTGTGTCAGTCTATACAGTAACCACTTAGAAATGTAGAAACTAGACCAACATGTGCTCAGCCAATTCCCCCTAGCTTTATTTTGGGACAAAGGTGACCGATAACTCCTATGTCATTTTCGGACCTGAATATGCATTTTTCTATTCTTAGCTGAATCAATAGTTGATTCAATTCCCCTTACGGAAGCCATGTAGGTAGATAATAAGCCGCAGTTCATGAGGGACTGTAGGCATCTCTAATGGAGGGAAACAGTTGGTTACATAGTTTGAGGAGCATCATGTCAAGCATGGGGCAGGAGCAAAGGCAGGTTCCAAGTTTACCTCAGTTCGAATGGGAATTGAGCTTGTGCTGTTGGCATTATTTTGAACCATACTGTAGCCATCTGGCCAATTGAACTAACCAGTCCCCCTCAGTCTTTTGAACACTTGAACTGGATGGCACAATCTTCAGCAAAATCATTTTAAAATTGAACGTAGCTCATGACTTCACTTTTTTTCTATTCAAACCCATTTGATAACTAGCTCAGGTGCAGAATTGTGAGATGCACATCAAATCTTCACAACACGTGCAGCAAGACCTGGATAATATCCAGGTTTGGGCTGACAAATGGCAAGTAACAGTCATGCTATGCAAGTGCCTGGCAATGACCATGTCCAACAAGGGAGAATCTAACCACTACCCTTTGATATTCAATGGCATTACCATTTCTGAATCCCCCATTATTGACCCCCTTCGGGTTGCCATTGATCAAAAACTGAACTGGACTAGCCATATAAATACTATGGCTACAACAGCAAGTCAAAGGAATCCTGCAGTAAATAACTCACCTCCTGATTTGCCAAAGCTTGTTCACTGTCTACAAGGCAAAAGTCAAGAATGTGTTGGAATATTCTTCACTTGCATGGATGAGTGCAGCTTCAACAGCATTCATGAAATTTGACACCATCTAAGACAAAACAACCCACATATTAGCACCACATCCAAAAATATTCACTCTCTCGATCACCAACATTCAGTTGCAGCAGTATGGACCATCTGTAAGATGCACTGCTGAAATTCACCAAGGCTTCTTAGACACCAACTTCCAAACCCACGACTACTATCATTTAGGACAGGGACCACAGATGCACGGGAAGACTATCTACAAGTTCCTCTCCAAGCCACTCACTTTTCTGACTTGGAATTATATTGCTGCTCCTTCAGTTTCACTGGGTCAAAATCCTGGAATTCTCTCCGTAACAACATTGTAGCTACATACACACCAAATGGACTTCAATGGTTCAAGAAGGCAGCTCACCACCACTTTCCCGTAGAGATGGGCTATAAACGTTGGTCCAGGCAATGAAATCCACACCTCCTGAATGAATATAAAATCCCAAAACAATCTCTTCTAGTTTAATTCAGTTATACAAATGTGTTTAACCTGTTCAAGCACCATTTCCCAACTAGTGCTTTAGTTGCACTTATTGCATTTTTTTTTTTTACTTTTCAGCTTTTATTCCTAAAATTGAAAGTTAAATACCAAAAAGACATGAACCATGAGTTAGATATTTGCAACAGAGATTTGATTTGCACTGCCCTGTTTTCACTTGTGCCCTAATCTGCAAGATAACAATTAAACACCTATGTTCATTGGTTTGGAACCGTTCTATTTTGCATGCATGTTTCATCGGTTTCGCTAAAGGAAGTCCAAGGCAAACAAGCTAAAACATAGCTTTGCTCGAATCATTAAGTTCCTTTTTGTCACAGTGTGGTAAACATATGTAGTAGCATGTTAAAATCAGATTCAACTTAGCTTTGTCTAATGATATATTAAAATAATTAATTCACAATGCTGTCTGACTTTTGTGAGCCATTTTACTTGACTTTAACATGATAATTCATTTGCATTCTGTTCTACAGTCTTGATCCAGAACTAATTTTCTTTACAGTCATCTGTGGTTTTTTATAGCCTTTTGACTTCCAACGTAACAGAGACAGGCTGGTTAATCTTTAGGCTCCAGGGAAAACAACTTCTGACTAGCATGTTAACCTCCTTCCATCTGATTTTAGCTTCACATGTCATCCTGGAGTTGACTTGAGAAGTTAACATGCCATTGCCGAGACATTTCTATGAATTTACCAATGAACCTCAGTTTCTATAAGCAAAATCAATCTCTTACTAATCAAAACTTGGATCCTATGTATATGTTAGAATTAACAGTGTCCCTTTTTATAATACAGATATTTTCATGTCCACCCTCTAAGAGACTGGCTGCGGCAAAGCAAACGTGTCCATTTCGATCTTTGTCAATGTGAACTTTCCCCTTGTGCTTTTCTTTCTAACTGATTTATTGTTCTTTGTATCTACAGTCCAGATCATTTGTAATGTATTGATGACCTGACCACATGTCCAATGTGGGTATATTACATGACACATGTAGCATGCAGTACCCTTTTCTTTAATGTACTAATATCATAATGCTGTGTACATCTAGCAGTTTTGCCACAATTCTAAAACTTCTGTATATATTCTCTGTAATTGTTTGTGTCGAAACAACCTAATACAAAATCTATTCACTCTTTGCTTCAGCACTTGCATATTTATCTCTGCCTTACATGATAGAGTTGGCGTCTCGGGTCCTGTCATCTTGCAAAAATTGCAGAAATATTAAATGACATCAAATTGCTGTTGTCACACTTCAGTGAGCTACAAAAGGTTTCTCACCTGGTTTGATAACGCTACAATGTAAGCTAGCTTTTCATCTCAGATCACTGCTGCATTTGGGTGCTTTATGAATGCACTATCTAGTTAGGGCATATACTAAAGCAGTGAGGGCCTCAGAGCAACCCTTCTCCCACAGCTGCCAACTGGACATTTGACAAAATATTTTCAAGTTGGAGTAATGAGAGTGCATGTTCACTCAAGACTATGTTCACTGATTTAATATTTCATCCCCAATGAAGGAGTTTTGAAGAAAGCAACCTATTGAGCATGAAGAGAAAGAGGGATTTTGAATTTTCTAATGAGTAAAGACGTGGTCATTGAATTAAATGTGCCATTATATCTGAATCATACACATACATATGAAGTAGCCTGTCAATTATTATTTTGTTTTTGACTTACAAATAGAATATTGTACTGTTCCTTCCATTCTATTGTAATCACATAAATAGATTCCATCTCTATTGTTGGAGAGGTTTTCCAAAATGTTCGTTTAAGGGAGAACTTCAGCGTCTCATCAGAGATCCATTCACTGGTTGTGGCCACAGGCATTAGTACATTTCAGGTTGGCATCCTGTTCCATATTGAATTCTAGCCAGGAGGCACCTGAAGTGAGAAAATAAAATTAATTACTAGTCAGGCATTTGAGCCAAGTGCTCCTTTGTCCAGACACGAAGTCTCCTTTGGTAAACAGAGATGAATGTCCTTAGTTGTGCATGTTTTCCTGTGATGAGGCCACCATTACTTAATCATTCCCCAACATGAGCCCTTAGCTGTCATTATTGTGTGGACAATAAATAGCACACTCCCATCTAAAATATTCACACTGTGTGAATGCATCCTTGGTATTTTTCTCAAGTTCACATAAACTGACACACACAATCTGTATTCTCAGTAGCAAAGCAAGTCACTGAGCACCTGACTATTAAATATTGCGCATTTTGGCAGGGGTTGTTTATACATGTGTGATGTGTGATTTCTGCTGACAGAAACTAACTGACAATGGTAATTTTCATAATAATAACTTGTTTGAAGTTTTTCTTTCAAGGACAACAAGCGTTTTCTTTAAAAGTATTGTATTTTCTGAGTGGAGGGGAGGGGAAGGAGAAGGGGGGAAGGTGGTTAACAGGGGAAAATTCATCCAGGTAGTTCTACCACCTACTGTATAAAGATCTTGTACCACATTCCCGTCTGTGGCATCTGTTGATTTCAGCTGAGAAATCTAGGAAGGGAAATTGTCAGCCAGTATCCCTGCTTCTGTTCATTCTCCAGTATGTTTCCTTTGGATAGTCAAGTCTTTACATTGACATAAACCATGTCAAATTTGGCTGTGATATCCCTTAAATGAACAACTTGCTTTACCCACTGGCCTTAAAAATAAAGTACCATGTGGATGAAGTGTGGCAAGATGGGCAGTGCTATTGATTTGTGATTCGGTACCTTCAAGAAAGGACTAGAGAAAATTGGAAGAATATGTCAAAAATAAACCTTCCCACATGGCTAGCAAAGATATATAGTGGTTCTTAAAGATGTTCAGACAAAGATTTTTACTGCTTTTTTAATGTATGCTCAATCCTGTTGTCTTTGATATCTACTTAATGAAAAGCTATTCTTTGCTTAGAAACTGTTTCTTGTGATAGTAAATATTTAATGAACTCGGTTCTGTACTTTGGTGCTCTTTGAAGTTATTACCTGTATGTTGTTTTTGTGCCTTTGTACTCTCCTGTTTACCAATTTCTCATTCATTATTAGTTAAACCTGGCAAATTGCTCCCTTTGGTTTCATTCAGTCAGGAAAAAAACATTGGAGCCAACATACCAATGATAACTGAGTTGGGTAAGCAGCCCCTTTCTCCTTTGTCCACAGTTTCACTTAACTCATCACTACTTCTTTTCATTTGGCTGAGAGAGATTTCTTCAGTGTTAGTGTCTTTCTTTTGCTGGCTATGATTGAGGTTGGCTGCCTTAGTTGTGTCCTTCTAATTTATTTTTAACGATTATTATTTTCACAGAATATCTCTTGCTCTTTGACCTCACTGTTCTGTCCTTGCAGCTGTTTCCATAGTATTTTGCTTGCAGTTCATTTCTGCAGCTTCAGCCTATTCATCAACCTCTGTCATGTTGATTGACAGTTCTTTCCACAGCTCTCACAGAAAGCCTGAATAGAGGGGAAAAAAAATCAAAACAAAACTTCAGATCAAACCTTCTTTCAAACTGTTTATTTTTGCTAGATTTGCTCTGAAGACAAAGTTCAGGGGTTGTAAAAGAAATAATAACTTCTACTTGCTTGCTATGCTTTGCACTTTGCACTGAAATTTGTAATATGTTAAAGCAAAATCTTAATAGATAACAATTTCCGATTTCTTAAAGCTAATGTTGACTGTTCAATAACTTCCATTATGCCTTATAACCTATTGAATGTGTACTGATAACTTGTTACCTTTCCTTTTGATCCCTCCAGTGAATGACTCGAATGTTCAATTCTTGGACCAAGATGATGATGATGACCCAGATACTGAGCTGTATTTGACACAGCCATTCGCATGCGGGACAGCATTCGCTGTCAGTGTGTTAGACTCCCTAATGAGTGCTGTAAGTAAAAGCAGAGTGATGTGCTTTTCTTTTTCATGTTCAGTCTCTTCCCTCTATTGCTTGCACTTGAATTCACAAGCTCATCTGATATGGAATTTTTAAAAATAGACCCTTCGCTGTAAATCACTCATTGACAGATCCGTTGGTCTTTTAAAACCCAAAGCTTGGCAGGGTTTGGTCAAGCCTTTGGGCATTTGAAGGTCTCACATGCTGTGTGTTTTAATAAGTCTGCTGCTATGGCTCAAGGTGGCCAAAGTAAAACGCAAGTAACAACATTAGAATTGTATGTGAAATGAAGGCATCCCTTCAATTAATTAAGAAGCAGATTTTTAAAGAGCTGGTCCTTCTCGTTCAGATTAAAAAAAGCAATGGTGTTGGACTTTTGGGTGCAGCGTGATATTACAGATAGCAGTCTGAGTTAATTACCTGGTCAAAGTGTTAAGGGATCAGCAATGCAAGTTTTGCAGCTGAATCCACACCGTTCCTTAGCCAGAAGAGCTGAAGCACTTGAGCTCTGCTTACAGGCATTCAAACACCAGTTAAATTTTAATGGTAACTAAGAGCCAACGGGATAGTTGCTTGCATTAAAAGGTGGAAATAAAGTTTTTTTTTAAGAAGTTCCCCAGCAGTCAGTCCAACCATTAGGGATATGTTTAGAATTCCCTTCATACTAACCGCTATTATAGTGCAGCTGCTGGACACTGAAACAGTGGGAAAGCACACTACCTCGAGGCCCATTCACACTGCTGGTCTCAGTCCAATTTGGACAACTTTGTTCCAGTGTTGAAGTTTGCAGTTCACGTCAGCTTGAAGCCAAAGCTGCTTCACAATTGATGCAAATTGCAGAGTGTAACTGGCCTGTTAGTTTAACACAATTTGTAGTAAAAGTATTGAAGTGTAAAGTTTTATGGTGGTGTTGAACTGTGAGAAATATACCGCAGGATTGACCCTTTGAGGCCCTTGATTGTAACAAAACCTACGGCTTTAAGGGCTGCTCTTGTTTTCTCAAAATAAAGCGCCAAGTGTAGAAAGCTGGGTTTACTTTGAAAACGATCAAAAGCTTTCAAAGCATCTCTTCAAAATAATAAGAGTGCACAACAGTTAAGTCAGCCGGTGATTCTTACTGAATGGATTTCAGAAATAATGGAACTCAGTTAGCTAAGTGCTCCAATGCAGCTGAAATGTAATGGCTGGAAGAGTCACCTTTGACAGCCATCCTCTCAATTTGTCAGGACAAGGCCTGAGTTTATTGAACATTAAATATTTCATTCAGCAGCCATTTCAGGCTATTCCAGCAAACACATGAATGCTCAACAAGAGTAACAGCTTGCATTTATATAGTGCCTTTAAAAATGTCTCAAGGTGCCTCACAGGAGTATTTTCAGACAAAATTTAACACTGAATCAGATATCAGGACAGCTAAACAAAAGCTTGAAGATTGAGGAAGCTCTTAAAGAACGACTTGATAGGAAATACTGAGTTAGAGGGATAGTCAGTGAGCACCCTAAGGTGAATATAAAGTAAGCATAATACGCAATACTAAAGAGAACCTTTGTTGAGATTCTCCATCAACAGTCTGTTGGCTGAATCAGACTGTCCACAGTCTTGGTGAAATACTTGCCTCTGTGTTGAGTTTTGAGCCGTATATTTCCACCATCACCAGAGCATCTCATGACTGTCACTGCCTGAGCCCAGATGCTGATGAAACATCTAAATTACTATTCCCATGAATTCCTGGAGAGCACGCAGACACTGAGTTTATGGACAGAGAGATCAAAGCATCATACAATTGGTGTGAGTGGAGTGAACAAACCTAAAATGGCTGGCTGACTGCCTCCTGTTGAATCTTTAATCATTCATACATTCCTGCATTCTAGAAATTGCAGAAGCAGGGTGTGGAGAACTCTGTTAGAAAGGAGACGCAAGTTTCGTTTAATTAACGGTTCAGAATCTGTTTCAAGTCACTACAGTTCAACAGCACATCCACATCATGCACATCATTTAAAACGTTTCTTCTTAATCAGAGCCCTGTTAACCCATTGTTCTTGTGCTCCCTCTACATTGACTCCTGATTACAAATGTTTCCATCTTAAAGTACTCATATCTGTTTTCAGATCCCTCCAATACTTCACTTCTCCCTATCTCTATAAACTCCTCCATGCCCACATCCTGTGTTCCTTAAATTCTGGCCCCGAGTATCTCTGATTAATATTAGTGCATCATTGGTGGCCATGGCTGTAAGTTCGAGGTAACAAGGTGTGGAGCTGGAGGAACACAGCAGGCCAGGCAGCATCAGAGGAGCAGGAAAACTGACGTTTCAGGTCTGGACCCTTCTTCAGAAATGTTCTAGGGTTGCTTTCCTAAACCTTAGGTTAAAGGTGCTATGTAATTGCAAACTGTTAATGTTGCTTAATTAACAGTAGGATGGGATAGTGTGTAGTGAGAGAAACCATGAGCTACCATGAGTCGGGCAAGAGAAGGAGATGGTTGGGATCGTAAAGCTATATATGAACAGTAAGAAACTAGCTATAGTGGATGGGACCTTCCTTCACTCTTCAGTATTTGGTGCACCTTCAGATCAAGGATGTTTGGAACTTTCCACTAAGTAGAACAGGCATGGTTTCATTTCCATTTGACATAGATGTAAATGCAACTGACAATTTGTGAAGTATAGCCCCATTATTCTGGCATTAGAGCAATCTCTAGTTTATACAGAGTATGAGCACAGAAACTGCAAATTCCTGTGAATTTTAAAGCAAAATGCAGAGAGATCGTTAATTTGTGAACTTGAGCATGAAATATTGAACTTGGCTTTTTGTGCTTTAAAGAACTGGTTTTCTTTGAAAAAAACACTGCATTGTTTCTGATGTGTTTTCTACAACAATTGAGTCTGCCTCTGAAAGAAATATGGTGTAATGTACCACACAACAACAACAAAAGTAGAGAATCCATAAATCCAGTGCTGGCAACAGATGCAAATTTAAGTTGAATCCAAGTTGCACTAATAGGCAAAAGTTTATAAATGAATCTGTCAGATTGATCAGACAATCTGACTTGCTGCAGTATCAGCCAAGTGAAGTTTCTGTCAACACACTTTTCACATATACTGCCATCAAATGGAGCTGTACTGTGCACATTAGATGATTTAACAAGGTCACTGCAGCACTGAGCCACCCAAATAACGATCCTTGAAAGCTGTGTGGGCTCCAGTGTGCTACCACACTGGAGTAATATACGTTTTGTTGGCTGACATGGTCCAAAAAATGCCAGCAGCGAGGAGGTATTTCTGGGCATTGAAACACTATGCTGATTTAATGTCTCAATTTGGGCTCTTGCTTGGTTTTGAAAAACAGTTAGAACAAAACATCATTCAAGCAACATTTCACATTGAACAAAGGTGTTGATGATTAGCAGACAACTCTCATCTATCATCTCAGCTGACAGCATTGTCAAATCGCAGATAGCTGTCACATGTTAATGCTGAGCTTGCTTCACTAAGAGCTGTGGGTCTGTAATTCACTTACAATCACATGATCCCTGGAGCTGCTCATTGTTTTTACTGGCTGAGCAGAGGGCACTCAATATCCTGCTGCGTGTTCCCAAAGTAAAATCAGCTCTTTTTTCTGTGTTTCAATTGCTCCAACATTTCCAACCATGGCGGCTCCTATTGATTATAGGCCATTCCACATGATTCCTGGCTTTTGTTGGTAGGGGCTGTTAAAGATGGCTGTCATCACCAATTCGATATTTTCCGTGGGATCTGTATTGTTTGTGCCTTCCCCACTATTCAGAATGAAGCATAGAAATGTTTTCTTTTTTTACATTTTTCAGTTTTTTTTAATGTTTGTTGCCAACTGTCTTCATATAAGGTGACGTTCTGTGGACAGCTGGCAAGTGTGACAGAGATACAACCATCTGTTGCCAGCCATCTCTCATCTCTGCCAACAGCTGTAGTTGTCTTCTTCTTGTTGGTGAAACAGTCCTGTGGTATAAATGTTTCGTGCATTGAGGAAGACTAAATGTCAGGTTATTGAGATTAGCCCACTTGTCCCAAAGATTTGGTTCTTAAGATTCACTAGGAGTGATGACTGTCAAAAGTTCAATTTATTTCTAACCTTACTGCTGGTTCTTGGAAATTTCATTCCCTGAAGCTTTGCAATGTCATATATACAAAGAAGTCCATATTGTGCGGCTGGGAGGAGACGGAAAGGGCAATGAATCAATAGAAAAAAGCCAAGTCAGCAGTAGTGTTGTGCAGAATATAATGCTTGAGTGACATTAAAAGAGATCGAGTGGAGTCCTCTATGACACAAGGCAGATCATCTAACTTAGCTGCGTGAGCAGGAGGGAGGTTTTGACTGGAGGGGTTTCCTGCAAATCATAGAATCACAGAATTCCCACAGTGCAGAAAGAGGCTATTCGGCCCATCGAGTCTGCACCAACCCTCTGGACAACATCCCACCCAAACCCAGCACCCCCACATGGTAGTGTTTTTACCATGGCTAACCCACCTAGCCTGCACGTCCCTGGACACTACGGGCAATTTAGCATGGTCAGTCCACCTAACCTGCACATCTTTGCACCGTAGGAGGAAACCAGAGCATCTAGAAGAATCCCAAGCAGATATGTGGAGAGCTGCAAACTCCACACAGGCAGTCACCCAAGGTTAGAATCAAACCAGGGGTGTCCCTGGCACTGTGAGGCAGCAGTGCTAACCACTCTGTCATGTTGCCACCCCAAATGGCCTTGGGGAGGGAGAATGGTTTCTTTTTCTTTTTATGTAATACAGTAATCAGGGCAGTCTGATCATGGGGAAATATCTAACGATCAGGGGTGTGTAGGGATTGGGACTAGGAAGGCCCTTTTCAAGGTTCTGCAGGGACCGCAAGAATTTCAATGACAGGCACAGTTTTATAACTTACCTTGACCTTTTCTGGCACATTTGGTCCTCCTGCCATGTTTCAAAGCTCCCACTCTGTTGCAGGCCTTAAATTTATATCATTATACAATGACACCTGAATTTTAAGTGGTCCCCATTTGTATTGGTAGTGTTGGCAGCCAGGGCCTGAATCAGCATCGTTAATATTGTGTGATGGTGGAGAAGTTGGCACTTCTCATGGTTGGTTCTCAAGTCATTAGGATTTTCAACCCTTTCTTGCCCATCAAAGGCGCAAGTAAGAATAGAAGCAGGCTATGATCAGAGCTAAAGTGTATGCGAATATAGAAGCTGGATACGGGGGCGTGGATGCTAACCGGCAAGTGCACTTTTGCTGGACAAATTAAGCCAGGGTTTTTATTTGTTTGGTAATTTCTGCTTTCCATTATTATCTCCAGTTGTTTCTGGGAAACCTTTTCTGAAAAATGTGGTTTAGCAAACTTCCTCTACTTCCTGAATGCATTTTGTTTTTAAGGATGTGTGTGAATGAAGCCGGGATCGATGTTCTACAGGTCCTGTCTCTCCTTACAAAGACGGCGGTGTTATCATACTTGGTGACATTTCTCTTGCAAAGCTAGATACTCTATTTCTGAATCAATCACAGAGTCAAAAACTGGTGCTGAAAGACTTGACACTGTGATTGACAGGATGTGATTTGCTTGTCGTAATAAAAGGAGCAGATTTTACACTTGTGGTTTCCTTTTCAAAAATGAACAAGACTGAGGTACCTTCAAAATTAATACAGTAGAATTTTGATTTTCCCAAAATAGCAAGTTTTCTAATAATGCAAGACTTGGGCTTTTCTATTTCGGGCAGTTCACAGGGTTAGTAGCTTTCGCTGTCAAGCTTTAAGCTAGGTGGTGGATGAGCAATGCATTCCTGAGGCACTCCTGCTCAACACCAGCTTTGCTGAGCAGAAAAGGCTGTCCCAGCTGACCAGATGGCCAGCTTGAGATTCCAAATGGCCTGAAGATTCCAGTCATGCTGCAACTTCACTTTAACTGCTGAAATCTGACATACTGACACATCATCAAACATAGTTACTCTATCTCATTAACCACCGTGCTTTGGAGGCTCCGAAACCCATCCCATCCCACCTCAACTCCTAATACTTGTTTTGTTCTAGGAGTTGTTTCGTTAGGTCTCCAGGTGGTTGCAAACCTTGCACTTGGTTTTCCACTCGCATCTGCTGTCGTAATATTTTTCCACTAGTGAATCCCCACAGTTAAAATGACCTTGACCTGCAATGAACTGTCTGCTGGGATTTTTTTTTCTGCCATATGGCATCCCATGCATACCGCCCATGACAGTTGTGCCCCAAGTTAATATCAGGGCTCGTGTGGTTTTGGTATCTGACACAACCTCAGATGGAAAGTTGGTAAGAAACCGATGCAAATTCTCCCTCTCTCTGTGTTAACTTCACAACCGATATGAGGCTGAGAAAGATACAAAAGTAGAAGACAGGTTTATAGCTTGTACGAGCTAGAGCGCCTATATAAGACCATAAGACGTAGGAGCAGAAATTGGGCCATTCAGCCCATTGAGTCTGCTCCACCATTCAATCAACCCCATTCTCCTGCTTTCTCCCCGTAACCCTTGATCCTCTTGATAATCAAGAACGTATCTATCTCAGTCTTAAATGTACTCAATACCCCTCATCCTTGCAATAAATTTTAATGTGGTCAACATGCATGTACACGCTTGCTCACCAAACATCACACTTTCATCCCACATGTACAAAACAACTTTTGCTTAAAGACAAAAAGAAAGTCATTTTATCTTGGGTTGCTTCGTTGCATTTGTCACCTTCTTACCCTGTATAGTAATTATATGCTGACCTTTTTATTTGGCAGCAGTTGGGCCTCGTACTTTCACATGGCACATCTTTAATTTAGTGGCAGAATAATTAGAGTTATGAAAGATCAAATAAGCCAGCAGATTTTAAAGGATTGCATTTTAATTGTAAAGTCTGTTACCTAATGAATCAGGGCAATTGTTCAGACTCTGCCGTTTATGCCTTGTGTGCCTCCAAATAAGGAAGGGAATTCTGGGAATCTTTCACCCAGTATACCGACTCTGGTATGGTCAGTTCTTGTGGGGAAGTGTATATCTTCAGACCTATGGTTAAGATGAAATTGGCCTAAGCTAAGAGGCTACCAGTGGGAGAAATACCTCACTAAGGTTCTCTTTAAACAAATATTTAAAAAGGTTCCACTCAAACAAAACGACTGAGGGTTGCTGGTGCCCATGGAACTATATCCCGTGTCCTTGTATGGTTTTGGAAATCCATTCAACTTTGTGAGAAAGCCAGAGCATTTTGTAATGAGGATGTTATACAGTATTAAATATAGCCTGTGGAGGCTTATAAAAGGGACAGTGCCTCCTTTACTAAAACAATCATCTTTAATGAAGCTTAAATTTATTATATTGACATTAAGTAAATATTTCTAAGACTGATTGTTTACCTGACAGGACGGAATGGTTATAGATGCTGGCAGGCTGTCATCTCGAAGTAGCTGTGCACCTAATAAATTGTGCTTGCCAGCGCACTTGAGTGTTTTAAACAAGACCACCTGGGACTTTACCCTCATCATCCATTTATTTAAAAAATAATCAAAATGTTTAATTGATACATCCTTAAGTCTGATTTCTGTCAGCTCATGTCGTAAAGCTGCAAGATGTGATAGCAGGAGAGGACTGCAAGAGTATACATGTGGTAATGTGCAGCGACATTCTCAGCATAAAGGCTGTTCCCAGCTGAATCAGTGATGAGGAAAAAAGGCACTCTAGCTCATACAGGCTGTAAACCTGTCCAGAGTCTTCTACTTTTGTATCTTTCTCAGCCTCATATTGGTTGTGAAGTTAACACTGAGAGAGGGAGACTTTGCATTGCCACTAACAGCAATTATAGAGGGAATTAATCATTACAATTTCTGTCTAGAAGAAAACTGACCTGAATTTGTGTGTGGAAGAAAAGATATATAGTGAAAGGACCTAATGGGACATACAACTAAAACAGAGTAATTGGAGTCTGCTGTCTTTTCACTTCCCAGATAAAATATGTGAAGTGACAGCACGTTAGTTTTAACTGCACAAAGTCCTTCAAAAGCGTAATTTGAATTTCTTTGGTGATGACTTTAATAGCGTTCGCTTAAAGAGTTTGTTTTATCTCCACAGACATACTTCAATGACAATATCCTGACTCTGATACGGACATTAGTAACAGGGGGAGCCACGCCAGAGCTGGAATCAATGCTGGCTGAAGAAAATGCCTTGAGAGGTGGCTACAGCACACCACAAACACTATCAAACAGAGACAGGTGTCGCGTCGCACAGTTGGCTTTGTATGATGGGCCCTTTGCAGACCTTGGGGTAAGGTGAATCTATTATTTTGCTCAGTATGCCACTGTGTTCCAATGAAAAGTATCTAGTACTATTACTCAGCAGAGGCAATTTATGTATATTTAAGCATAAGCTGGATCACGACATGAGGGAAACAGGATTAGAGAACTGATAAGGTTACATGAAATAGGAAGTTTGTGTGGAACCATATGCACCAACACAGACCTGTTGGGTTGAGTGGCCTGTGTTTGTCTAAATTCTGTGTAATTTAACACATTGTAATAAGTAATTTGGAATTTGTTGTGAATGGATTAGTAATACATTGCTTACTGTATTGAGCCATCGGTGCTTAAATATGCTGTGTCATGGAGCTTAGTAATGCAGCCCTTTCTCTGGGAAGGGACAAGCAGAGCCATGGCCAGGCAGTTCTCCCAGTGAGAGAGAGAAAACTAACAAACTGATCTCGCTGTGCCATGCCCATAAATGCCACAAGAAGTGATCAAAGGCTGAGGGAGATCTGACAGCATTTGGCTCACTATTCTCTTGGTCAGAGAATGGAGTCACACGTAACACAAAGAGAATTAGAACTTGCAGTTAATAACTTTTATCAAATCCTAGAAATACACCCTTGATGGCTCATTTGTTAACCATCTGTTGTGGGGCTAATTTGTGAAGTTACGGTTAATTTGACCCTGAACACGTACTGAGTTAGATGAAACCGGCTATTGTAAAGGGCAATAGAGTCTGGAAGCCCCTGGATTACGATTAATCAGTCATTCAGGATTTCTAGATCTGTATGTAGAGGTGTATACGATTATGAGGGACATGCACAAAATGGGTAGAAATCAGCTATTCCTTATTTGAAGGACCAATAACAAAGGGACACACTTTTAAAGTGAAATGGAAAAGGTTTCAAGGCAAGTTGAGAAAAATGTTTTTCACCCAGTGTGGCGGGGATGCACTGCCTAGGAGGCTAGTTGAGGCAGGAAACCTCACAACCTTTAAAAAGTACTTAGATGTCTTTGAAATGTACTTTGAAATGTCGTAACACTCAAGGCTATGGGCCAAGTGCTGGAAAGTGGCACTAGTGTAGATTTAGCTTTGTTTTGGCAGTACAGATACAATGGGCCAAAAGGCCTCTTCTGTATTACATGATTTTATGATCTGATTCCTATTTCACAGCCCATGCTAGAACCGGATGTTGGTGAGGACAGGAAACAGTTGTCTCCAATGTCCTTCTGCTGAATGAACTGCTCGGTGACTGAGCCCGCAGTTAAAGAATGTATGAATGGGTAGCTGATAGTCATGGAGTCGTATCCAAAAGGGCCAAAAGAGAAGAGGGAAAGTTAGCAAAAAATGTATTTTAATGTTTCACCCATGAAGAATATGAAAAGGTTATTATGTTAGTACCTGATATAATGCATTGTAAATAGAAAATGCTCATTTTCAGTGAATGTCGGCCAGTTTGTATCTGATACGTTGTATTTTCAAAACTAAGTACAGTAGTGAAGCTATACCAATGAATCAAATCATTTAGCACTGCACCCCACTTGAAGAACATAGCCCACTGAATGATGAATTTTCTTCATATTCCAACAGCAAACATTTATAGTTCAATAATTAAGAGAATTTTTCTGGTGAAGTTCACAATCCATGTCATCACAAGCTGAAATTGAGGTGAGGTGAAAGTTACTGTTCTTGACATCAAGAACATAGTTATACAGCATGGAAACAGATCCTTCAGTCCAACCAGTCCGCACTGAACGTAATTCCAAACTAAACTAGTCCCATCTGCCATATCCCTCCAAACCTTTCCTATTCATGCACTTATTCAAATGTCTTTTAAATATTGTAATATTTAATCAAGTGTGGCATCAAAACAACGGAGCACCATAGCAAATCTAGAGCCAATGGAATTTGAGGCAAACTCTCCACAGGTTGGAATCATACCTAGCACAAACAAAAATGGTTGTGGTTATTTGAGGTCAGTCACCTCAGCCTCACGGTATCCCTGCAGGAGTTCATCAAGGATGTGTCCTTAGCCTGATCACCTTCAAGTGCTTCATCAATCACCTTCCCTCCATCATATGGTCAGACATGAGGATGCTAGCTGATGCTTGAACAATGTTCAGCTCCATTCGCAATTCCTCAGATACTGAATCAGCCCATGTCCAAAAGCAGCAAAATGGACCTGGACCGAGACCTGATTCCTGGGATCAAATTCTTGGAATCCTATCCCTACCAGCACAATGGAAGTATCTCCACTACATGAAGTGCAGTGGTCAAGAAGGTGACTCACTACTTCTCAAGGGCAATTAGAATCATAGAATCTCTATGGTGTGGAAGCAGTCCATTCGGCCCATCGAGTCCACACTGACCTCCAAAGAGCAGCCCACCCAGACCAACCCACCTACTCCGTCCCCATAACTCTGCATTTCCCAAGGCTAATCTACCTAGCCTGTACATCCCTGAACACTATGGGTGATTTAGCATGGCCAATCCACCTAACCTGCACATCTTTGGATTGCGGGAGGAAACCAGAGGAAATAGACACGGGGAGAACACGCAAACTTCATGCAGACAGTCGCCCGCGGCTGGAATCGAACCTCGATCCCTGGCACTGTGAGGCAGCAGTGCTAGCCACCATGCAGTCACTAAAATACAAAACCATTTCTATCTCATAGTTTTTCAATTCAATACAATTTCCTTAAAACAGCACTATATGAAGTTCCAGTGTGGTCAGACCTTTAGAGGACTATGTACAATTTGGATTTCCCTATCCAAGGAAGGATATTCTTTAAAGAGGGTGCACAAAAATTCACTACATTGATTTATGGTTGATTGGTCAAAATTTGCAGGAGCAAAATGAGAAATAGATATCCTGAAATATATAAAATTCCTAGTGCACATGACAGGGTAGATGCTGGCATGTCTAGCATCAGAACTCATAATTTAAGGTTAAGAAATCAGCATTTGGGATTGGAATGGGAAGAAATTACTTCGCTGAGCATTATGAAATTCTTTAACACAAAGAGTGTTGGATGCTCATTGAGATCAATGTAAATTTGGGCACTAAAGAAATCAAGACATATGGAATAGATTAGGAAATTGTTTTAATGTAGAAAATTGGACATGATCTTTTAGAGTGGTAGTTTTGGCTGAAGGTGTCGCATATATTCTTTGCTAAAACTGGATCAACTCAGATCTGTGGCAGTGCCAAACTCTATGACAACACATGGATAGTCAAGTGGTTGAGAATTTGACTCCCCAAAATGCAGTTCCTGTGCTTGAAGCCCGGTAGTTAAGCTGCTGAATGGAACAGTGACATGGAACACATCGTTCAGTTCCAGAGGAGGAGGTGTGGATTGTCAAGAAAGGACCAGTCTTGTCTTGGACAGAAGTTCTTTCCTTGACCAGTAATAGAGATGGCACCTGTCCACCCTTTCTAGGAGGAGTAGCCGAAGTAAGAATGGAACGGAGACAAAAGTAATGTTTCTATTGACTATTCTATGACTTATAAATCATTTACGCAATGTTCATAAGACTGTTCAATCTTATGGCAGGATTATGAGAGCAGATTGGAGAGTGAAAAATGTAACATAAATGCGAAGTCACAATGTGCAAAAGTGATATGAGATATTGATTTTCTTGTGTCCTTTCTGTGAAAATGGTGAACCTGGAAGTACTAAGAATAAGACTATTTTGAACAAAAATGAATATTTTGGAGTTTACATGATTTACTAAATACAGGGGTTCAGTGTGCCATCAATTATTTGATACTTTCTCTAGTCTGTAAAGAAGACTATTAGAATGTAAATGTGCTTTAAAATTTTCTTTGTGAATTGATCCTTTAAGTGCCAATCCACAGCAGATTAGTGTTTTTAATTTCACCACCATCAAATCATCATTCAATCCCATAGAAAAAGAATATCACAAAGGTTTCAGTCAAGGGAGCATTCTGAATTGACATTAATGGATATACAGTCATTAACCCAGAGTACTTTAGCAATCATGTCATTCTGACTGTGAGTTAATTCAGCTCTTTCAGTGTCATGGGTAGTAACTCCTTTTCTCATGTTGCTTGCTGCTGATGTTCATCAATGCCTGGTACTAGAACCAAAATATTTTATCGAATAAAAAGAAGATTGGCTCTTTCTAGTTTACTCTTGACAGACTCAGATGGCAACACATTCTTTAATTCTCTGAAATGATTTTTTCCAAGCTATAGATTTGTGTAATATATATAAGAAACCTTGAAGGGAGTATTTCAGCGAGGATTACCTCAGAAAATATCGTGAAATGCTTCAGCAGATGAGATATGATGAAGGTTTATTCATACTTTTAGAGAGGTTCAATAGGTTGAATGCATGTTCTTGGAATCTGGTGCCTACTTCGAACAGTGAAACCTCAAAAGTGCATTGTCATTTTCACTTTGGTTGCTGGCTCTGGTGAGTAAGCAATCACTAGCACCTGGATTTCAGCTCAGCACAAATGGTCGCAAACAGCCAATTAAAAAGATTGCTCTTCACCAACATTAATAATTGTTAATGATAAATACCTGGTGTTTGCTGCTGGCTTGCACTTGTATTTCCAGTGCATTTCTCCCAAAGTTTGTGCGAAGAATTAAAAAAAATTCATAGAGCAAATTTGTCCAGTGCCAATTGGGTTTCTGCCAGCTTTTGTGAACTAGGAGTTTGATTTGCCACCAAACCAACCATTGCTGGAATTAATGACCCTGATGAATTTCCGCTAACTGCAGTGCCTCAAGCATGCTCTGAAGTTTAAATTTTTCTTAGGCATGGGGCTGCAATAGGCATCTTGTAAGAGTTTTTTTTTGTTACTTACCGAGAAACGGACTATACCGACCTAACCAGTAAATGGTTATATATATTTTTTAAAGCTGTTTACAACCTGGTCGCTAACAGAGAGTGAACTAGACACATTAGGTAACAAGGTGTAGAGCTAGATGAACACAGCAGGCCAGGCAGCATCAGAGGAGCAGGAAAGCTGACGTTTCAGGTCTGGACCCTTCTGAAGAAGG